CTACTTCTGATCCAGCTCCCTGCTGATGGCCTGGGAAAGTGGTGGAGGATTGCCTGAATGTTTGGGCCCCTGTCACCCATGTGGGAGACCCAGAGGAAGCCCCTGACTCCTGGCATCAGCTTGGCTCAGCCCTGGCTGTTGTGGCCATCTGGGGAGTGAACCAGTGGATGGAAGATCCATTTCTATCTTTCTGTCTCTAAAAAAATAGATCAGAAATTTTACTGCACAGGATCATTGCTGCTTTTGATAAAGTTATATTTAAGTTTGGAACTCTGCATGTTTATATTTTGTCAAATGAATATCTGATATCAGTCTCAGGCATTTTTTTTTTTACAATTCCTTTACTGGTGTTAAAAGTTTGTAGATATTGTAAAACATTTATTTTTCAAGTTTAGGATGTACACAGGATTCATGTGTTCAAATGTGTTTTGGGGGCTGGCAACTTAAACAGAAACACTGTGCTCTGGAATGCATTTGCATTTATTTCTGCATAACTCTTCACAGGCCCACAGCGACATGCATAGATATATGATCACACACAAAAATATGCACCAGCATACAAATATAGACAAATACATAGAGATCCATGTAGTATAGCACACACATAAATATACATGGAAACAACTCACAAAATGACAAACATACAGACAGACCCACAGACACATGTAGATGGACACACACACAATATATATATAAAGACAATCACAGACATGCGTATGTCCACTGTACTATTTATACCTTTGTTGGTCATGGACTATTAAACAGACGTGTTCTCCATCTCAGCTGTGGGAGATTTTAGTGGCAAATTCAGAAGTATGAATTAAACTATGTGTACTCATTTGTGTTTTGCATTGTAATTGCTCTGATTTTTCATACATCATAGTCTGTGAATCACCTTCTCTGATTGTCTCTGAAACTTAAGGCCTCTGGTCTGCGACCACTGACAGTGGAACTCCAACTTCATTTCACAGGCAGAGTGGGGATGTTCTGGTCAGAACAATGGGACAAACACCTGCACACATGAGCGGTTGTCTCAGTCCTGGCCTCTTTCTTTGCAAATCTGGGAACCATGTACCTTACATGTTTTGATTATCTGCTATTCTTTTCTGAAGGTAGGAGAGAGGATGGGAAGAAAACCAGGCTACAGGGAAAAAACCCTGTGGAAATTTGCTCTGCTGATTCCCCTAGCGTGGAGTTCAATTACTGACTCATAAATGTATTTGGATGCACCTTATCTAATTACAACTACCTGGCTGTATCATTCTTCTTTCAGCCAGTGTATCTATCCAAGTTTCCATCTGTATATCTGCTCTAACAGATCTTTCTAAAATAACTTTCACCATCATATGTGAAGTGCATCCTTTGAAACCTGATTATTAAGTCTAGGGAGTACTAGCTTATGTATTTGCTATCTCCCAATTAGTTTGGTTCAAGGTGTCATTGCATAGCACTGTGGTTTGTTTTGGTGGGTGAATGGAAACATTTATTTACTTCGTGAAGTGAGAGGAAACACATAAATACAAGATAAATCAGATAGTGAGGAACATGGAGAAAATCCAATAATGATTATAAATAGGAGCTAACATTCATTGATCATTTCCTATACATTAAACTCTATGCCATGAGCTTTGCGTTCATCATCTTAATCCTCTCAATAACTCTGTAAAGTAAAGGTTTATATATGAGTGAGGAAACTGAGACTCAATCCTTCTTAGATATGAAACATTGTTTTTCAAAAGATGCTTCAGACATGGAAAATTTGACACATGGATTCAGATTCTCAAAATTTAATGTGGATTTTGGGAACTTGTTCCTCAACTCCACTCCCCACCTCTTCCCCATAACCCTGGCTCTTGTGTATTTAATGCTTTTTACATGATCAGTTTTTGCAAATGTGCTGATGGTAACAGAACATCATTAAGGTGTGCTCTTTTATGTTTTCAGTGATGTGTAGGGGTTAAACAAACTGCCTGGATATCAATTCTGACTGTGCTGCTTTTCAGCTCTGTGACCTTGGGCAAATCAATTAACTTTTCTGTGCCTTAATGTTCTAGTCTATAAAATAGGATAATTATAGCATCCCCCTCATGGAACTGTAATGATGATTAAATGAGTCAGCATGGGGAATGTTTTCAGAACATTGCTTGGCACATGGTAAGCAACATACTAGATCAGTTGCTGTAATTTTTGATCTTTGTTCACAGTTTTGGTTCTTCATTTCCTCATAAGCAACTGGAATGTCCCTCATCCAAATGTAAATGAGAAGAAGGAAAAAACACACGCTTTCATACATGTCTTATTGGAATGCAAGCTGAGCTCCTATTGAGAACGCATCTCTTTATAAGAGAATGGACTATAGAGAAGGAGCTATTAGTCCTTAAAAGCCCCTCAATCTCCGACATAGCTGCTTAGCTCGATGATCTGGTTGAACCTGTGACAGCAGTGGAGTCAACAGGAGTGTCCAGGTCCATTTCATTACCTTTGTAAAATAGGATGAAAGTTGACCAACCAGTAGCCTATGGCAATAGGTTAGTCAAACTGAGACTTGACTAAGAGGCTGATCATAATAAGGTAAGGAGAACAACAAGCAAGATATTTGAATGGCAGGGTTGTGTGGGTGGCAGGCTTGTTGTTGAGGTAACTGATGTTATGACTTTATTGCACTATTATTTCAGTCAAGTGAAATATCTCTGTGACAAGCCAAGACAGAGCTCTGAAACAATACAGGCTCACTGCTCTTTTTTGTTTCTTCTTTCTTTTTACCTCCTCTCTCCCATCCTCACTCCCTCCTTTCCTTCCTTCTCTTTCCCATCTCTTTTCCCCTTTTCTTCTTCCCTCCTTCTTTGCATCCCCTCCACCCCGTCCCTCTTTGGTCATTGTGGGAAGTCAGCTCTATTTCTGTGACAGCCCTGACAAGGACCTTGGTGACCCACTCATTGCAGGCAGCTACAAAAATTGTAGTTTTCCTTCTGCCCTAAGGTTTAAAGACATTCTTATCAGTGCTGGATTGTGAGAAATATATGGCGGATGCATTGTCAGGACACATTGCCAATGCAAGTAATACATATAGAATTATAAAGAAACTTTGGACTAAAATGACGACACATAACAAAGAAACTTAGAATGACAAGTTGAATGCAGTCTTCACTTCTTCATTAACTTTGTTTTTATAAATCTGTACTGACTTGTTGGAACTACCATTACTGTAATATTGGAATGGTCTATAAAGAAAAACAGAGCATAATTATTCAGCATGTTCAGAGATTTCTGAAAGATCCTGCCTCATTCTTCCCACAGAAGTCAGCAAATCCAACACCAAACATTCTTACAGGGAAACCAAACAAAATAAAAAGCCTAACAAAGTGAAAACACTTTTCAATGTTTGTCCTATTGCTCTTCTTCTATGATGAGGATCTCACCTCTCAGCTTTTCTTTGGCCACAGAATTTTTTTTTGACAGGCAGAGTGGACAGTGAGAGAGAGAGACAGAGAGAGACAGAGAGAAAGGTCTTCCTTTTCCGTTGGTTCACCCCACAATGGCCACTGAAGCCAGCGCGCTGCGGCCGGTGCACCTTGCTGATCCGAAGCTCGGAGCCAAGTGCTTCTGGTCTCCCATGTGGGTGCAGGGCCCAAGGACTTGGGCCATCCTCCACTGCACTCCCAGGCCACAGCAGAGAGCTGGCCTGGAAGAGGAGCAACCGGGACAGAATCCTGCGCCCAGACCAGGACTAGAACCTGGGGTGCCAGCGCCGCAGGCGGAGGATTAGCCTATTGAGCCACGGCGCCGGCCGGCCACAGAATATTTTAAATCAGTTAAGGGGAGTCAGAAGTAATGAGATGCTAGGGCACATTCCTACATCAGAAATAATCATTGTTCCACCTACAAATACCCTGAGATCTTGAACTGCTCGAAATCCATGACTTACTTCCATACGAGTCATCTCAAAGTGTCTGGGACCGTTTTCTCAGAAATCCTGTTAAGATGTATCTATTGCTAAGTTGTTGCTTAAGTTGTATACTTCTTTTGTGTCATTCTTTTTTCCTTTTGGCAAAGGTTGTTTCTCATGTTTAAATCTCATTTACTCATGAAGATAATAAATTCCTTGGAAGCTAGATTGTATCTTATGCTGATCTATATCCCTGTGGCAGTCTCATACCTACAATAGAGGTTTGCAACAGGTACTTGTTGCCTTTTGATGGTCCGTGTTGACCCTCTATCTCAGGTCAAACTCACCTGAGTTTGGATTCCTCTTCTGGAGGAGCTATATGGTTGCTAGTGACTGGATATTTCTTTTGCAAATAAAAGGGGGAAGAGATGCTAGGGTCTCTTTTTAATTTAAGCTTCTCCTTGAGCTAGGGATGTGATGGGCCACAAACAGAACCGATTGATGCAATTTCACAATTGTTTTATTTGTGAGTCTGGGAGAAAGTATGCTCTCATCTGTAAATTCTCATTTCATGCACAACAGTGCCTTATGCACACTTGGGCATGGTATTGGTGAAGATAGGAAGATAAAAGTAGATGAAGAAAATCTCCCAGGATTGTTGGCTGGTCTTGTTTCCCACTCTTTTGCCACCAAACCCAGGGAAACAAGAAATAAGCTGACATAGCTTGGAGGTGAAACTTTGTGTTTGTAACGTCAGAGGGGAAAATAAAAAAAAAAATAGAAAAAGTTAAAAAAAAAAAAAAGGAGAGACAGCCACTTCTCCTTTCATTTGGAAAGTTAGGATATTACCCTTGACTTCAACCTGTGAATATTATTTGAACAGTTTTCTAGACTCTTGCTTTTAACTTTAAAGACAACCTTTGAATGGGAATGTTCAATTATAACATCCAGGTTACAAAAGAGCAAACAGGCAAGGTTGAATTTATCACTGAGTTTTTAGGTCAACTGCTAACAGTTCTAGGTATCTGATTCCAAAGCAAACATATCATATAGCTATTAGGATACCCTTGGGGGCATTTAAGCTAAGTAAAAGGGCAAGCAAGGATCTCTTGCACAGATTGCCACTGCAGTCAAAGATACCAACGTATCTGGAGGTGAAAATTTCATTTTGTTTCTTTTGCTTTAAATTATCCATAATAGTTTTTCCCTTGTGAAGTTTTATGGAAATGACAACTATTTAATTGGGTATACAGATAAAACTAATAATTACAATAATTACTGCTCTCTTCCTAATTGCTACTGGGTCTTTCTGGGATATTGACTAGCCTCACTTATTTGAAAATTCCTCACAGCTTCCTGAGCCTTGGTTGCTTTGTTTATAGTAAGGAGATAGGAAGCTGTCAATTTATGTAATATTACTATCTTTTTCACATAAAGCATTTCTATGATGAATAATTTACCCAGAATTGTTCTCTAAGCAAAAGATTTAGAACAATAATTCCATGTTAAGATGAAAATATACTTATCTACACCTCACTATTTCAATTTATTGTATCTTTGGTGGGGATGGGGAATGGGGAGTGACGTTTGAGGCATTAGGTTAGAGGAACTTAAATAGCAGTTTGTGTGAACGAACCTACTTGAACTGTTTTTTTATTTACTTTTTAAAAAATTATTTAAGATATACAAATTGCATGTATTTCCTATATATAGAGTCAGAAACACAGTGATACTTCCCACCCTACCCTCCCTCCTGGTCACACTCCCCCACTTAATTTTTATAAGATCTATTTTGTTTACTTTAATCTCATAAGATTAACCCTACACCAAGTAAAGAGTTCAACAAATAATATGAAGCAGAAAGCAATGTTCTTTAATAGTCGAGACAAGGACTATAAACAATCATTGAATCTCAAAATGTCACTTTCACTCCAATACATTACTTTTTAGGTATGCTATTAGTTACCATAGATCAAGGAAAATGCATGGTATTTATTTTTTTGGGACTGGTTTATTTCACTAAGCTTAATAGTTTCCAGTTGCATCCATTTTGTTGATGTTTTCTTTTATAAAAATTATTTATTAAGTAGTAGTGCAGATGAAACCTACATAAATATGTTTCTTTTAAAGAAAAGTCAGTTATTAATCATTGTGGTGTGTGATATAGTTAGGTACAGTTTTCTCAATCAAAAAGTGAAATAAGCAGTTTAAGCTGCTGCTTGCAACATGGGAATCCCATATCCAAGTGTCTGTTTCAGTCCTGGCTACTCTGCTTCTGATCCAGATTCCTTCTACTGCACTTAGGAAAACAGTAGAAGATGACCCAAGTGCCTGGGCCCATGTCTCCCACGTGCTATACCCATGTGGGATACCGGGATGGAATTCCTGGCTCGTGGCTTCAGCCTGGCCCAGCTCTGACTCTTGTGGTCATTTGGGGAGTGAACCAGAAGATGGAAGATCTCTCTCTCTGTATATCCCTCTCTCTCTGTTGCTCTGCCTTTCAACTAACTGAATAAGCAAATCTTTTTTTAACAGTGAAAAATAATTTTCATAGCTATATTAATCAGAATCTCCTGGTTTTATAATGTGTGTTATTTTCAGTACAGGAATATTAATCCATAAAAACGCAATACTTTTGTGACTCTGTGCTAATCCATCTTACTCAGAGTAACTTAACATGTTACAAGCTTTTACCTTTATAAGTTGCAATCTTGGAAAGCTGTTCTACATGAATACACATTTTGCTTAAGCTCGATGTACAGGTACATTGAATTCTAAAGCTTTTGAGACAGTGTTTAAAAATATTTGCGTACATCTACTTGTGTGTGTTCATTTTTTTTTAATTTATTTTTTATTTTTTGACAGGCAGAATTAGACAGTGAGAGACAGAGACAGAGAGAAAGGTCTTCCTTCCGTTACTTCAACCCCCTGGTCTCCCATGTAGGTGCAGGGCCCAAGCACTTGGGCCATCCTCCACCGCCCTTCCGGGCCACAGTAGAGAGCTGGACTGGAAGAGGAGCAACCAGGACAGAATCTGGTGCCCTGACCGGGACTAGAACCCGGGGTGCTGGCGCCGCAGGCAGAGGATTAGCCTAGTGAGCTGCGGCTGTGTGTTCAATTTTGACAACAACTACTGGTGATTGAGCTATGTCAGAATCTATATAATGGATCTCAGAGAGTCTCCGGGGAAAGCCAATACCAGGCTTCTTGGGGCCATAACATAGATTACTCTCTCTGTTCCTAGGAGTTTTGTTTTTTCAATATTGAATATGTTCAAATTAAGTTGGAATTCTCAAACTAAGTTGGATTTCCAAGATTCTCATAATCATAAGCATCTTCTGTGGTATTATTTCTGAAATAATACAGTGCTTTAAAATGCATATGTTCAGGATCTCCTTTAGAGACTTTTAAAATGTTTATTTATTAGAGAGGAAGAGAGAGAGAGAGAGAGAACGAGAGAGAGAGTGAGAGAGAGAGAGAGAGAGCTCTTCCATCTGCTGGAAGGTCCCTGGGCCAGAGTCAGGAGCTAGAAATTCAATCCAGATCTCCCTTATGAATGACAGGGATCCAACAACTTGAGCCATCTCCCTTGCCTCCCAACATCCACATTGGCAGGAAGTTGGAATCTGGTGCCAGGAGACAAACCCAAGGACTCTGATATGGGAAGTGGGTGCCTTAATCGGTAAAATTAATTGTGAGACCAAATATTTGTCCCTCCTTTAGCGATTTTTGACTTCTGAGGTCTAGAGCAGTATTCAGGAGGTTCTTCAGATCAAGCAGATTGGAAAAAAGTGTTAATGAATAAAGATCAACAGAAGTTTGCCAATCATGCAGAATTACCCAACTAATTGAAATAGAGTAAAATAAGTTTTTCTCAAAAAACTAAACATTGTACACAGATGTCATAAAATTGAAAAGCACAACTCTTCTCTTACTTCCATCACTGAAAATCATAGCTTTTAAGAAGCAAACCCATCTACGGCACCATGAACCATTAAAGCCTTTGATTCTTCTAACGCTTGTTGGTGAAACCATCCAAGACTAGTTGTTATTGTGATTCTCTCACTTGCCTCTTATTCCAGATATCTGGCAGAAAAAGATACAATGACTGTTTTAGATGTGATCTGAACATAACTCATTCTTGGTTTATATTGAAAATGTGGACACTGGGCGATTAGACTGGGTTGCAGAATTTTCAGCCACTTGTGGAATTCTGTAAGACAGTGGCTAAGGGGGGTAAAATGACTCTGTCTTCTTGAGCAACGTAGTGAATATGGAACTTCTGTTTTTGACTCTCCCTTCCAGTCCATTGTGAAATAATTGCCAAGCTTGTTTGTCTGGCATGAGTTTACCACAGCCAAACCCACGTGGCTAGAGATTAAACCGACTTTCTCAAGGCACACAGAAAAGTTTACTGTATGTTTTCTTCTCCATTTTCACAATTTTATTAGCCTTTAATAAGCATTTTCTCAGAGCCTGGCAGTTTCCAAACATTTTAAAATCATTTTTACTAGCGGCTTCTACAACACACTTATGGAGTGGGTCTATACTTTCAGCCATGTTTTTATGGGCTATGTGTGAGCAAAAATGCAAAGAACAGAGACCGATTTCACTTTTAAACTTGATTCCTCGCTGTAAACCACAGGGAGCAAAAGAAAGGACTTGCCTGCTTTTTCATGTTTGGTGTTACATAAACACGGTAACTGATGTGGTTCCAATATGCAGGTGTGCTAATTTCATTTTGTTTCCATAAAGCAAGCCTGTTCAGAAATGTGATTTATGGTAATACTTGGGAAAGCAAATTCTCCAACTTATAAGAGTGCATGTGTTACTTAAAGACAAAACTAAACAACAACAAACACTTTTGAAAATGACTATGTAATTCTAGTTGCTAGGAATAAACTCCACAGTAAGATTTTTCAGTTAAGTCCTATGAGAAATTAGTGTAATGATATAATAACCCAGCTTGTCTTTTCTTTACACAGAAGGTGCTTCATTTACTGAAATATAAACTGATGATTAAGATCTAAGAATTTTTACTAATAACTTACTGATTCTTTAACTTCCTCATAGAAGCAATTTTTTACATTTGACCTATTTGAGGTTTCACAAAAACTAAGCATCATTATTTAACCTCTCTCCAAGTCAATAACCTTCTTTAATCACTTAATCATGTCACTTATTGGGCATTGGAAAACTTAAATTTAAAGACATAATAACTCCCTCTATTCCTTCCTTTCTTTTATGACACTTCAGATCCATAACAGTTAGGAAATGGAGCTATTAACACTGAATTAATAAAGAATATTCCATTATAAAGTAGCTTCCCTAGTGAAATTTATAAGCTTATAAAAAGCACAGATGTCATTGTTTAAATTAATCAACAATATTCTTTGCACATTGAAAATTATTTTCAATAAGTGATGCTTTGATAAGTGGAGGGGAGATTCAAATTACATAGTGATTTGTTAAATTGTTTTCATTATCATATATACTCTCATTTATTTTATGTTTACAATTTCAAAAAATGTGTTCTTTTGTGATAGAAGCTGAATTGATTACTACTTTAGTTCGCTTAAGTTTGAAATACTACTTCTTCTCGGCTTTTTGGCTAAGATCAAGTGTGAAATACTTCGTATGTCGCTGTTTATGTGGAAGTTTAGAAAACATTTAGTCCAGCAAATGGGAGGTTGTAGTTGATGCAAAAACTCTAATACATGGACTTAACTGGCAATGGAAAATATTTGTTTATAATTAACAACCTGTTAATTGAGAAAATTGATTTCCTTAAAACAAAAATAACAATTCATATTTAGAAAAATTTAGTTTCTCTTTTCTTAGTTGCTAAGTTCACAGATCCAAAGCAAGCAAAACATGTATTTCTGAGAAATTTAGCAATACATGACTATATCTACACTCTCACTCAAGGGTGAAATATATAAAAAATAAATTAATGGATATTTGAATTTTTAATGCTGTTACACATATTATCGTATATCCTAGTATGTTTTTATTTATTTTGTGCAGTTAGTACATTTTATTTCATTATAAAATGTTTTATATTTATCTTAAATTACGGATTTCAGAATGATGCAATAAAAAGTTGATGTGTATGTTAATAATTATTGTATTGGATAAGTTTTCATGGTTATGTTATAAGATAAGATAATTCCAAAGAAACAGAAGTAAACTAAAACTTTTAAAGTGAAACTTGGTGATACATTTATAAATTAAACGAATGCAAAGTTATCCTATGATAACTTTTAGATCATGTATACTACACTGAGATTATTTTTAGCCTACTATCCTCTATAATTAATGTTTATTATCATCATTATTAAAAAGTTGACATTCTTACTAAACTTCTTTTTTCACAGAACTTTTCTTTACGTCCATGGAAGAACCTTGGGTGTTGGTGCTCTGTTTTATTTATCTCGTCATGCATAGAGTAACCTGGGCTCTCACTGTTTAGTCTCATGGGTAAGAATCTCATCTTCTGTATTTTTTTATGTGGTAAAGCTTTTGAACTGATATTTTTATAGTAAACACCTAAATAAAGGAAAATAAAATTTTTCCCATCCAACTGAACAGAGAAAGAAAGAAAGAAAAGAAAATGGAAACAAAATCTATCTTGTAGAAAATTAATGAATCCACTGCATCTAGGATTGGCTTTTATAGTGTTCTTATGAGTTTATCTTTGTACAATGAAGGCAAGCATTTTAGCTTTAAGGTAGAGATTTCTCCCAATATCTTAGGATCTAATAGTTCAATTCAAGAACAACAACAGCAAAAGATATAATTAGCCACCATTGTATATACGCTTGCTGTACTTTCTGGTAGTGAAAGTGTTTGCTTTTTAGTATCTTTGAAGCTCACGTCCCCTCTACGGAGTTCATGGCAAGCAGATCTTTAGAATGAGTGATTGTTTCTTAGGGCAAATGTTCAGGTTTGGAGGGTTAATTTACCTGCAGTAAAAACCTGATAGGACGAATCCAAAATTCTAACCACATAACCAAGGAACATGGAATGGAAAGTGCAACGGAGACCGATCTGGTAGCAATGATTCCACACATGCATCAGCTGCACTACCCAAAGGAAGAAACACATTGAACCCTTCCAGAAATTCTCTCTCAAGGCATGCACAGGAAAACAAAGAGAACCCCAAGACTCACAGTTCATTTGAATTCACAAGGGAAAATTTTCAGGATGAATGTTGCGTTGACGTTGTCTTACTGATGCAGAGGAAGCCAAACCTGTTTTTAATTGCAAAACCAAATGGTTTATGCATAGGCTCTGCCATGCTTGTGTGAACATGTTGCTTTTATAGCCCCCCTCCCCCTCCACAAACACGAGACTAGGCTTGCCAATATTATGTTTGAGCTTGGTCACATTTAAAGTGAGAAGCCTTGCAGGGATTTTTGAAGGTAAGTAGGGGAGGGATGTCAATCTGTCAGAGATGTCGCCATAAGTAGATCTATCTGCCTATCTGTTACCACTTGCTAATTATGGATTTGGGTGATAATTGTCATAAACTTTGCCATAAAAGTGCAATAATAATGCATTTTTAGGGAATAGAGAGTAATGAATGAAGAGGGATGAAGCTAAATTCTAAGGGTTTCTGATCAGCAGATCATAAGGTTTGTGCTCTAGAACTGTTTCAGTATTTAATGTTCCAATGAATACACATATTGTTGCATGTATTGGGTTGCTTCAGGCAACATTGCTAACATTCCATTATCGGACTAGTGAGTGTACACAGAACTGGGTCTGTAGAAAAGCTTTTCTTTTCATGGCCAAAAAAAAAAGTCTTTAGGAATACTCTGTCCTTGTTAGAGATATGCTGAAGAGGTCTAAGAAATAAAGCCAAACAAATGACCAATAAAAGAAGGAGCTGCTTTGTGTTTGTAAGGAATAGACCAATAAGGGCAAAATCAGATCCTGGAAACATTTTGAGAAAGGTCTCGGATATTTTTGCAAAGACTTACAGTTAAGGAAGAGAAAAAGCATAAAAGAGGGCTCATAATTTATAAAGAAAATCTAAGCTCTTCTGCAAAGGATTGGTAATAAAGGATATAACTGAGAAAAGTTTCTCCTCTTTGTCCAATTCTTGAAACCATTAATGTCACAAGCCATTGACATTAACTGCTTATTACCACATTTCTGCCCCAACCACCCACTATCATTTGAACACACACACACACACACACACACACTTACCCACACACCATGGCTTTAAATATTAATTTCACTCAGTTTGGCAATATGAGTCTAAACATTGAGTTTAAGAAGTCGACTCTTTTATCAGTGAGTTGAATTGAATAAAATTATTTTGATGCTACATAAAAGATGGGTAATCTTATGTCCAGGAACATTGACTTATCCTTCTGCCTTCAAAGTAACTTGTTAGCAATTATTGATGAAGGAGGCATCCTTCCTAAAATAGCCTTCCTCTGATACCCGGGATTTTCAACAAAGAGAAGTTCAGTAGCCGGCCATCATGAGATCAGGAGTGCCATTGGGCGTTGATGCTTACTAATGTATTATGTAATCAAGCAGATAGTTCTAATTCTGCTCAATGAAGGGAAACATACCTTAAAGGAATTAGAGTCTCTGCCTATACGTTCAGATTCAGTGTATGGAGTCTAAGTAAATATATGCACAAATTTCTATTGACACATATATACATTTATCAAGATTCATTAGATAAGGAATAGTAGTGACGGGTTCATTCAAACAACAAAGAATAGGAACTTAGGCATTCAAACAAACACTCAATACAAAATATTCCTGTCACCCCTTTACCTGTTACCCACACTTGTACACAGATGGACATAATCATGACTATGAAGACAGTCATATACATGTTTCCTTACCTTTCCTTCCAGCCCAGAATGCCCAGACCTTACTTCTCATCATAGTTTGTGCTATTCATTTATTTCAGGGTCAAATTCATCATGGGGTCTTTCCAATAAGAGAAGTGGAATGTATACTAATAGTGCTTACACCTGTTGAGCTCCTTGTTTCAGATTCAGAGAAAGGTGCTAGACAGTCATCTTTGGTATTTGTTTCCTCCAAACTGTATATTCCTAGGATATAGCACCAATGTGAAGCTTAAAAAACACAGTATAAAAATCCTTGGCTGGCGCCGCGGCTCACTAGGCTAATCCTCCGCCTTGTGGCGCCGGCACACCGGGTTCTAGTCCCGGTCGGGGCACCGGATTCTGTCCCGGTTGCCCCTCTTACAGTCCAGCTCTCTGCTGTGGCCAGGGAGTGCAGTGGAGGATGGCCCAAGTGCTTGGGCCCTGCACCCCATGGGAGACCAGGATAAGTACCTGGCTCCTGCCATCGGATCAGCACGGTGCGCCGGCCGCAGCGGCCATTGGAGGGTGAACCAACGACAAAGGAAGACCTTTCTCTCTGTCTCTCTCTCTCACTGTCCACTCTGCCTGTCAAAAAAAAAAAAAAATCCTTGAAGGTCAGAATAGCCATAATAAAATCAGTTATGCATTGTGGATCAGCAAAGTGTATGGCAGATAATATAGAAATAACATGTATATATCACAAGAACATTATTGGGGATGGGGATGCTATTATTACACCTGTTTAATAAAATGAGGAAATGGAGGCTCAGATAATTACTAGAGGCCTTGCTGGAAGCTAAATAAAAAATCAAATTCATATCTGTAAAACCCTGTACTCTCATTTATGTCTTTCATTTTCCTCTGATACCAGTGCCATAATGGATGAAAAATGCCATTAAAAGGGAGAAGATATTTGTTGTTGGTTTCTAGGGCATGAGTCTTAGGTAGATTCTTTGCCCTTGTATTTAGTTCAAGGAGACAATGAAAACACAATGAAACAATTCTCTTCTCTACAACTTGGGACTAGGAGAGAAAGCATTTTATTTTGTATCTAGTGGGAAGTGTACGAGGCACATTGGGAAGAGGAGATGCCACCTGATGCATGCGCTACTGCCATCTGCTTCACTCCACGTTCAGGGAGACTTGTCTGCATCATGCAAGAGTGAGGAAGAGAGAATGTGGGAATGGAGCCAAGGTGAACGGAGAAGTGCTCTGGTGGAGCACACTAAAGACTCAGAGAACACAGAGAATGGTGATTTAGTCCAGCTGGGGTGAGGGCGAGGTAGGGAAAGAGGCACCAGGTATGACGGAACCAGTGGCTCTACAGCAATGGGAGTATGACTGATGCTGCCTTCTCAAAGACTCCGGAAGTTCCTGGGGCAGAGAAATGACTCAGGACACAATGGGATAAACTCAAAGCAAGAAGCACCCTTGCTCTCAGGCACATGAAACCTGTCAACCAGAGCCAGCTACATCCACACACAGCACAAAATAAAGAATCAGGGCTTCTTGTTCAAAAAAGCAGAAAAGAAACATGATGATAGAGGTCCTAAAATGTTAAGTTTGAGTAAATTCACTCTCTCTTTTGACTGGCCATGATTTATTTTATTTTTTTTATAAAACATACTGATGTATTTATTATATAATTACTTTAAAAAAATTTATTTGGGAGGTGGAGAGGTCTTATCCCTGGTTCATTCCTCAACAGTTGGAGCTGGCCTGGGGCTGGAGCCAGGAGTGGGGAATGCAATCCAGGTGTCCTTGGAAGGGTCAGGAATCCAATTATCTGAGCCATCACCACTGTCTCCCATCATCTGCATTGTCAAGAAACTGCAGTCAGGAGCTGGAGCTAGGAATGGAACCCAAGTCTTCTAATGTGCGGTGTGAACATCTTAACTGTTATGCTAAGTGTCTGCACCTGGTCATGGAGTTTTTAGTTGCTGTTTAATATCATTATATGCAAAGAAAATCTTAAAAAAATAAATTTTTGGCCAGCACCGTGGCTCACTAGGCCAATCCTCCTCCTGCAGCACCGGCACCCTGGGTTCTAGTCCTGGTTGGGGTGCCAGATTCTGTCCCGGTTGCTTCTCTTCAAGTCCAGCTCTCTGCTGTGGAGGGCAGTGGAGGATGGCCCAAGTGCTTGGGCCCTGCACCTGCATGGGAGACCAGGAGGAAGCACCCTGCTCCTGGCTTCAGATCGGCGCAGTGTGCTGGCCATAGCGGCCATTTGGGGGGTGAACCAACGGAAAGGATGACCTTTCTCTCTGTCTCTCTCTCTCTCTCTCTCTCACTGTCCACTCTGCCTGTCAAAAAAAAATTAAAAAAATAAATTCTTAACATGGATTTTTACCATCCATTTTATATTACACCATGCTAATTTTCAATATAAATATAAGAGGATTTAACTAGTAAATGAAATTAATGAAATTACACAAAGTATATTTTATACCTCATGTGTGTGTGTGTGTGTGTGTATGAGTTTTCTTACCAGCACTGTGGAAACACTGCATAAAACTAATTCACTTTTCTTTATTTCACTTCTTGTTGCAAGTACATTCTGCCAACCCAGTGTGCTTAGCTTTTTCTCTCTGGAGGCTCTTTGATTTTCCATGCATCACGGTCACGGGCATCACAAATACTCGAGTAGGGTGACAAGGAATGGAGGAATCACATATTTTGTGTATTTTTCTCTGCTTATGCATGTTCTCTACTGTCTCATTGGATGTCACTTACACAACATCAGTTCAAAGATTAAATTATTGAGAGTTTCAAGACAGTGACAGCAGAGCATTAAATCAAACATAGAGTCTTTTTGAGCTTGGGGTCTGGTGCGATTGCAAGTCCAGGAAGCTGTCTTTGCTTTCAACACAATCTCATCTTGGACAACAAAGCAAGGTCAAGAGATCAAACAGGAGTTCTCTGTTCTTTGGTGCTTAGGTTGAGGGAATCCACCACCCTTCAATCTGCAAAAGTCCAGACCAGGAATACAGAGCTTATTACTGAAAAGGAAAGATAAATGATTTGCTCACCCTGTATTAGAGTGAACTTGTACAGGAGGCATGGTGGGCACTCCCATGCTGATTAGGGCATCCTGTTGGTTCTCTAGGTTTTCCTGAGTTGAGATTCCCTCTTTGCTAATAATTTGGTGGAGAAGCAATGAAAACGTGCTGGTGTCTCTTTTCTGGGAACTTGGAGGATAAGATAAGAACAGTGGTGAGCAATTAAGAGAGGAGTCACAGGAATATGCCATATAGCCTTCCTTCGTACAGCCCCCTACAAACACAATTGGATAAGTTGATTTTCTTTGGCTTACCTACTGTGCTGGATTTCCAACTACTGCCTCTGTCTCAGGCAACTTTTGCTTTAGTTGCCTTTTAATTTCATGCCCTAGTATCCTGCCTGCATTTCCTTTGAGCATTA